AGGTATGAGAGAAGTGCAGTTATTTGGAGGATGTGGAGGATTTGCAAGGATCAACTGAATAAAGATGTGTGTTCTTGGAGCATCTGTCATGCAGTGGAATGCAGAGAAATAGAAATAAGAGACTGAAGAGAGAAAGAAAGTWTGGGAGAGGAAAAATCATTTCATAGAGGAGTAAGATTTATATAAAGATGCTAGGGAATTATCAGGGGAGAAGAGGGAAGAGTGATTAGAGACTTAAAAATAATAGCAGATAATTAYGAACGTGTTTGGAGCTGCTGAAGTAGGAAAGAGTTGCAGGTTATTTCTGGTTGAGGAACAATCAGTAGAATAGGTGTRAAGGGCCCAAGCACTTTAAGAACCTACCTTAAATATCTGCTTAAGAGGATTTGGAAGAAAATCAGTCAGGGAATTATCAGGACAATGTGAAGTTATTCTGAGGGCTTGAGAAATTGCTGAGATAGAGGTTCCCAGGTCCTCTGAATTCATCCTAAGAAGAGAGGTTAGACAGTGCAGTGGTACTTGAGAAAYAGAAGTACGGGGAAAAGGGAAGAATAAAGAGGGAATCCTATCTGTGACCTTCACTTGGGTTACTTGGTTGTTATTAGGAGAGACTGCAGTAAAAGGGAATGGTGGTAAGGTCTGAACATGCACAAGGAGGAGARGACATTTGACTGGACCAGGGAAGTGAAGAGAGCTCTCTACAAGCATCCAGAGGTTAAGGAAAGCCCCTGAAGTTTGAAAGCCACAAATGCTTCCAAGGCAAAATAACTGCCAGGGAAGCAAGGTTTGTTAGTCAAGAGGATTTGGAGGGGGGGGGGGGAAAAAAAAAAAAAAAAAAAAAAAAAGGACAGGTATAGAAAAACAAGGAATCTAAGAGGGGAATGTGGTTGTTTGAAGCAGGTAGGGAATAGTAAGAAGAAAGGACCAAATGCTTAGTCAAGGGGAAAATATAGAAAGGGCTGAGAATATTTTGAGAAAAGAATGAGTTGTCAAAAGAGAGAAGTATTAYTTTAGTGGCAAAAGGCATATTTTGCTTGGAAAGGCTGGAAACTATGAGATGTGAGCATATGGAGGGAATGAGAAGGATTAGGAAGCAGACAGTTTAACTGGAGAGCAACACCAATGTAGAAGGGTGTGGAAGTGCAGAGTGCTGGAAACGACATCTTTCTGGGAGAAAGGATCTGTTGGAGAAGAGTCRTGTGAATTGCCAGTAGGCACCAAGAAGCAGAGGTAATGAGGATCTGCAGCTGTCCAAAGGCTCTGGGGAAGAACCAGGAAGGAGGAGTTTGAAAGGGCCAGACCCCTTCAGCAAGAAGCACTTAAGAATGTGTGTGTACAAGATGGTTTAAGACAAGACTGGAGGAAAAAATATATATAAAAARAAAAGAAGAAAAGAGGCTCTTTTCTCCTTTTAGAAGAATTAGAATTTAGAATTACAGAACTATTGGTAAAGGGCATTGACACTACAATGTTGAATGTGGGAATAATTAAAGTGGAGGAAAATTTAAAAAATAATTAAAATTAAGTAGGAGGTACCAAGATACTCTGAGAACAGTGTGCCTAACAGAAGGAGCTGGAAAACAAACAGCAACAAACATGTGGGAAGAAAAGGATTGCTGGTGAATTACCAACACAAGTATGCGTGTCTGGACACAAGGAAGCTTAAGGACAGGATAGCAAGAACCTCAGAAGACTAGGGAAGGGCGTGAAGTTTGTGAAAGCCCATAAACCCACAAAAGAGAGAAGAGTGTTCAACGAGTTAAAGAAATGTGGAGGAGTCTTTTTGGAGAATTCAGTGGCCATGCACAGCTCAGAGGTGGAAAGAACAGCACCAGTTTACTGTGGCAACACAGAGCAACCCAGCAGGAAAGATGCAACTCTAGTGGGCTTGGAAGGAAAATTGAGCATCGGCTTGCTGAGAAGGCAGGAAAAAAACTAGAGAGGAGTCATGTGCAGGTATATCCTGCTATCTGTTGAAAACCTGTTCCTCAAGAGTGTGAGAGTCAGCAATTTGGCAGAGAGAAAAGCAATGCTTCTGATAAGAATTGTCATAATGAAGGAATGTATGAAAAGCATTGCACAAGGGTTAGAAAGCACAGGGACAACTGCCTAGTTATGCAGCTTGSAAAAGAAGTCTTCAGCAGGCATGAGGGAAGAGAAAAGGAGCTGGGGAATGACACAAAAACAGGGATAAATACAAAGATAGAAGGCTGTGAATTTCTAAAGCAACAAGAGAAATATCACAGAAAATGGATGATGACTGAAAATCAGGACAGAGATGTCACTGCAAGATAACTATCTACAGGGTTTGTATACTGAAGAAAATGTTTACAGGTTGCTCATATTGGAAACCGAAGGAGCAAATCAGGATATCCTGAATAACTGTTTAATTCCCTTTAGAGGGAGGGAGGGAGGAAGGGGGAGAGGACTATTGCAGCTGTCTTTTAAGGGCAACTGAAATCTATTTTGTCTGTTAATCAGGGTGAACAAGTTGAATGATGGGACAGCATTACCACACATGACATCAGCTGTGTGCTGTAACTCTGCAGCTTCCAGACTCTCTGCAGTGCTCCTTGGAAGGACACTCTGAGCTCAATTCAATTATCCAATAGACATGGATGACTTTTTTTTTTTTTTAACTTATATTCTAATCTGCTAGATCCTGAAGATGGCAAATAATTGTACTTCTCCATTGTTTCCCCCCCCCCCAAGCAAACAAATATATCTTTATTGTCTCCCTTAACCAAGTTAAGGCTTCCAGCCCCCACAGAGTGTTATGTTTTGTGTTTTCCTCACTACCATTGGTTGACTCTGCAACTAAGCACAGGAATCTGGCCCATTGCTTTTGATGAAAACTGCCAGGCATGGAACACCCTTTGATATATAGTTTCTGATTGGAATCTGAAGGCCAGAAATCTCTAGGCCAGAGCCTAGAAACGTCTGAGGATTTTAACACATCCAGTACGGCTGAAGCTTTTTTCATAAAGTTCAAAGCAGTTACAGCCCCTCAGAAGGGAGCAGTTGCACAAGCAGCTGCATATTTAAAGGCAGAGCTTGAATTTCCAATTTAAGGCTAATTTAAAAAATYAGCCTTTGCCAAAGCCCTGGCAAGCCTTGCTTTGAGGGCTCCTTACCTGTCCAGGATAGGGAACTCAACAGGCGCAGCAGCAATGCAGATGCTTTAAGGGACAACACCTCTCACAGACAGCAATCCCAACAACACATRGAAATTTAAACCCTTACCAAGGGAGGTACGATCAACCACGTGCACCTCATTGCAGGTCTGCCTCATGCCAGGGCACTTCCTAGCCTCCCAGGAAGGAGGCAGTGTGTTTAGTACCTGGGCTTGTCCTTCAGAGCAGCTGGTTGTGGAGAGCCTTAGGATGGGCTAGGGACAGCAGACCATGGGCTGGAGCCTTGTACAATACATTTCAACCCACCACACAGTCCAAACATTCTTAATTSCCAAGATCACTTTAATCTTTTAAAACTTTAGACTACCCCATYGTTCCAATTTCACCATTGACCATGTTGTCCTGATAGTCTTGGTGGKGCATAGACTGCAGCTTAAGATTCTGCCAAAATATGTGTTGATCACTAGAGCATCACAACCCCCATGAATTTTGATTGACAGTCTAGACAAGACAAAATGGGGCACTAACAACTCAGTTTTCAAAAGGTAAGCACTAGGTAAGAATATTACCCCTTACTGTTCAGTTTCATGTATACAACAAAGCAAAATGAGAGGGGCAGTCAGAGGTTTTTATACCACCTCTCCATTAAGTCACTGCCAATGCTCATGGAGCTCTCCACTTTGATCTTGACTGGAGATCTCCCAGCCTCCCTCTCAGCCCCAAAGGAGGAGAATATTTCATGGTTGAAGGTGCAGAGGATGGGTTACTGAAACTGAAAGGGCTGCATGGACTAAACACAGGCTGTGCAAACRGGGGCTGGGAGACATGTGATCAAGTAGCCTTTCCACCCAGAGTTACTGCCCCCAGATCTTATTATGGACTTACATTCTAGACTGACTTGGTGATACTTCCAGTAYGCAACTGGCTTCACTGCAATGCAAAACTGTGCAATGTTAAGGTGCAGAACTTCAGATGGGCAAGTAGTATGGAAGAATGGAAAAATTAAAAAAAACATCCACAAGCAAATTGGTACTCCATGGTCCATTTCCTCCCCCCTCAAAAGAACAGGCAGACTCACTAAGGTGGTACATTTTATTTCTTTGAGACTATTTAAGGTACATGAGTTGATTACTATAACATGCCAGATGATCACAGTCGTGTTCACAAGTGAAAACACTCCCCCTGTGAGTGGCTGGAGTGCAGAGGATGGAGCCCCTCACTTCACACGTGGTGGGCCTTGGTGACTTCTGCCCTCCCACACACATAGAGACACAGAAGAAAGGCAAAGGTAGAAGAGGCAACATACAACTAACACCCAGGAGGAAAATGGAAGAGACAACCTAGTAGGACATGGACATCAACCCCCAGAGGAACCAGAGAAACACACCACCAAACACTTGCAAGCAAGTCACAGAACTGCTGGTCTGAAGGGCCCCTGGCTCATATGCACACACCCTGAAGGCAAGCAGCAATAAGTAGAACAATAGGCCCTGGCTCCTCTTGAGTAGATGCATTTCTGACCATCCACCACATCTCAGTTCCGCAGGGATTTACAGAAGTGCTCGGGGGATGAGGGCTGCTTCACTCCAGATCTTCATCTCTGCCCTCATGTGAGTTAGAGGGGGATGGAATTGCATGGAGATGAACTCAGCACAGGTGAAATGCTGGGGCATGAAGTGAGCATGCAGAGCTTACCCCTCCCCAGCTACCTGAGGGGAAAAAGGCTTTTCCAACATGTCCAGAAAAAAAAAAAAAAGAAAAAAATGCATCCGCTCCTTCCATCTTGGGTCCCTTCCAGTCAGGAACTCCAGCCATGTTCTCTCCTGCCTCCCCACATCCCCTTAAGCCTAGGCAGGTAGCASTGTATCCTAGACCTGAGATAGAGCTTCCTAAATTTAGCTCTCTGGGCTAGATTGCAGGCCACAGTTCAGAGAGGCTCATACAACCCTGAAAGGCTGCAGAAACTGATGAAGAACACAACTCACTTAACTGCAGGTCTGACAACAGACCCACAGAATGGTTGGGGTTGGAAGGGACCTCTAGAGATCATCTAGCCCAATCCCCCGCTCTGCACAGGCAGGGGCACCTACAGCACATGGCACAGGGCAGCCACCTTTCAGAGCGGGTTTAAATAATACACATTTCTTGTTCATCCCAAGGGGGAACAAGATGGGGGACTGCAAACCATTACATTCCATGCACTAAATTTACTTCCAGAGACCGCCATGGGTCCCAGATCAAGAAAGGCTGTAGCAAACAGGAGAATTTCAGTTTGACAGGCCAGATATCTGAGCTGCCCAGCAGAAGCACCTGATGCTGCTTTGTGATGTGCACGCCCARAGCAGCCTTTCCTTCTGAACCCCTGGCTGTTCCGAGTTTCCTGTAACACCTGCTGGAAGTTGGGCTCTGAGGTAGGAGGAACAGCAAAGGCATTCTCAAGAAAACAGTGCAACTTGCTCAGTCTCACCTGCAACACCTCTAGCTCCYTCCCTCTCCACCCATCACCCGGCAGACTCAAACATGTAAGGCAAGACAAGACCACAAAACCAAAACTGCCATTCCTACTCCTATTCTGCCCCATCCCAAACTTTGCCAGAAACCTAGAAGACAGAAAAGACAGAATSCTAGCTTATGTCTGCATAGAAGAAAGTAGCATTTTTCTTTTTAAATTATATTCCTTATCGTCTTTCCTCCTTTCTCTTGGCRGGTGGTTTTTACTCCCACACATACATTTTAATTGAAATAAATTCTGTTACTGTCTAGTTTACTTCAGGTGCATATAACCAACTAAATGTAATTGCACAAGCTCCCACACATGCGGGACAGCCATTTTAAGAAAGCAAATCATCTTAACCTAAGGTCAGGCAAGTTCTAGAAATGATTTAAGTGCTTATCTCTCCACGAGAAGAGAAATCTAAATGAATGTTTCAGTCACACTCGTTAGGCAGAAGGCTAAAGAATCTCATATRCTTAGGTCCTTCATCCTTCTCAAGGCACTGCATTAAGGCATTCTTATATTGCCAGAGTTGACAGAGGCACTATATGACAAGCTCACACCCAAAACAAACTGTGTGCTCTCTACAGAAAAGAACTAACAACAGCTGCCCACTCTTCCTCTACTTCCCTTCCATCTAAGCACTCAAGGGGCTCTTACAGCAGCAGTCTGTTGAAGAGTCTAACCCATGCTCAGAGCAACATTTGAGAGTCTTAACCAAGGGACAAACATAAACCAGTAATCAATGAAGAAGCTAGGTGGAGGGGAAGAAAAGACTTTGGGGGAAAAAGAGAAGAGACAGGCAAGGTGACAGRGGACAGTAGGGAGCAGACTGAAGGGGATACATTCAAGTACAGAGGTAGACTGGAGGCATGGGAGGGGGGAAGGGAAGGAGAGAACAAGAGGGCAAGTTACACCAGGGATCCTCCAACRCCTCCACCAAGGAAGGGATCCGACCCAAACCCTCCACTCCAAGATGGCTGCCCCTCACACTCTGAGGTTCATGCGAGTCAGCAGACAGAATTTGCCATTTCTACATAGTTTGCCCCCCATACACACACCTCACCCAATTCCTTTTGCCACTGGGTGAACGCATACCATTTCCCCAGGAAGTGTATGAGTTCCCTTCTTAGGAAAGAGAAATGGTACTGCTGGAAGTTACCACCTGCAACCAAGACCCTCCAAACGGAAAACCAAAAAGGAAAGTTCAGAGTATTCTAGAGTTAGGGCTCCCTCACTTTTTTTTTTTTAATACTTACTTACAATCACCACCACCAGAATGGCACAGATCACTCCCATCATGACCATCATCTGGGAAGAGATATTGCCAGAGGTTAATACTCAGCACAGATTGAGAGGTTCCTGAAAGCCAGGATACAGCCGTCAGCACCCAGAAGGCAGGACAGCCCCRGCCTCAAGCCCCTCCAGAGAAGAGCCCAGCCCCTGAAGCAGTTATTAAGCCCCAGGTCTCCGAGTCCTCCAGCAAAAGACTAGTCCTGTCTCCCCCACCTGAAGGGGCCGTGGCACCAGGGCACCCACCTTGCAGTTCTTCCACCAGTACTTCCTCTTGAGCTGCGCCGCGTTGCTTTCAAACACCGAAGCACCAGCCTTGAGCGCATCCGCCCGGTCGTCCAGCTCCGAGAGCCTCACATCCCGTTTGATCACTCTGTCCATGTTGTCACATATTATGTCAACCACCTGCAGAAGGACGGGGAACGTCAGCAGTTACTTTTTCAGCTTTCTTCGCTAACACAAAAGCGGGGCCCCGGCCTCTGCCTCATGCTGAGTTACTGCCAAGGGCTGCGCCCCAGTCTGCCCAGGGGCCGTTCTCTCCACGCAGCTGGGAGGGCTGGGGCTGCTCCGCATCCCCCCAGCCCGCACCCTCCCCGACCGMGCGCACAGAGCCCGGGCAGCAGCGAGCGCGCCACTGACCTCCTGCACCTCGGCCTGCGCGTGCTGCAGCCGGTAGTCAGCGACGGCAGCGGAGGGCTGCCGGGCGGGGGGCCCGCCGGGGGCCGCCCCCTCGGCGGGGAGCTGCGGCGCCGCCTCGGACCTGGGGAGGGGAGAGGCAGAGCGGCGCGGGGGAGCCCGTGAGGCGCCGGCCCCGCGCGCCCGGGAGCCCCGCGCCCGCCCGCACTCACATGGCGCCGCCGCGCTCTCCACAGGTGGGTAACGGCCACACCCGTCCCGCCCGCTTTATATAGCGGCTGAGGCCCCGCCCACAAAGCAGCGAGCCAATGAAAAAAGGGCCGAGGGCTGAGACCAGCAAATCAACTCCGGCGTTCACCGCCCCGTCTCCTCCTCGTAGCCAATCAGCCTCCCTAGAGGGAGGTGTCCGAGCTGTGCCCCCCTCCCCTTGC